TACCGGCGTTTTGCGCGCCATTTTAAGCCCCCCCTCGGTGTTGCAGCAACAATCGCCCGAAATCTTCCCCCCAAAACAAAACAACAATAACAACAACAACAACATGGACGTGAGCTTCTGTTTCTTGTTGTTGTTGTTGTCTGTTTGCCGCGTGCCGTCTCCTCATCGTTCATATTTTTTTTTATTCGTTGCAGCGTTGACTTTGGAGGGCGCCAAAGCCTCAGAGGTGTGGGACCCCGAATCCAAGGGCACCGAAGAGTACCAGGGTGGACACAAACTGATAATTAAGCAAGCGCTGCTGGGACCGGAGGCCGTCGATGGGGAACTGAACGTGATCCAGGTGGAGGCAATGACATGGAAGGAGTCCATCAAGATTCCGGTTGCGACGTTGAAGGCGGGCGGCGCCAACAGCCAAGTGCTGCTGGATCTGTCCTTCCCTGATCCCCCTGTAACCTTCAGCCTGATCCAGGGCAGCGGCCCCGTCCACATCATCGGTCATCACCTGATCGGTGGACCCGTCGAGGAGTTCGACGAGATGGACGAGCTAGAGGAGGAGATGCTTGACGATGAGGAGGGCGAAGAAGGCGTTGTAAGTATATATATAAATTATACATTGTTATTATTGTTATAACATCAAACACGTATCGCGATAGCAACATTTTACATCTTTAACAACAACAAACACTGTCACTTTTATTACCTGGTTTTGCTCATTTGTAGGCAAACAGAAAAAGGAAATTGTCGGTGGTGGCTGAGGATGATGATGAGGTTAATTGAACAACACACAGGCGGAGGCAGCAAGAATGTGCATTATTTTTCTGCTTGTTTTTTCTAGGAGGAGGATGAGGAGGAAGACGAGGGGCCAAAAAGCAAAAAATCGAAAACGACCAACAACACGAAAGGCAAAGGAGCCGTGACCAAGAATAACAAGGGCAAGAAATAGGGAGCAGAGTTGTCTCTGAGACACACTGAAAAAAAAAATCAATCGAGAAAGCAAGTGTGTGTGTACATGTGTGTGTGTGTGCGACAGAGTGCCTGTGCAAAGAAGAAGAAACCACACTCAACAAACAACAACAACAAAAATCTACAACAGCAACTATATTATTATAACAAAACAAAAACCACAGACTGCATAATAACTATTATTTTATAATATTGATGGAAAAAAAACCACTTTAGTTTAAATCCTCTCGTTCACATTAAGAATGGAGGATTTAGACATTATTATTATTTTTTCTTTCCTGAAGAACTACGTTTTCTTTCTGATTTAATTATTTACGTTCTTTAGTATCTAACTATTATATCTTGTGCTCGCGTTCTACCATCAACTCCCTGACTACCCCCCTCACCAACCAACCCATCCACCCACCAAACGCACTACACTCAAATGTATTTTTTTACGTATCACTGATTTTTTTTTCTTCTATTTTATATTTCCAGTTTAGTTTATTATTCTTATATGTATATATATATATGCATGTAACTCTACACACACACGTACATATATATATATATTTTGATATAAGTTTGAATTTTTGTATGTTTCCGTTTTTTTTGGGGGGTCGGCGGGGGTGTCGGACGGTTGAAAATGTTCTCAACATTATTATTATTATTAATCTTTGTATACAAAACGTACAAAAAGAAAGAAAAGACCGTATGTTTTTCCCCGTTCTTTGCCAAAACCTCCCAATTATATTATTATTTCTTTTTTTTGTCGTAATTGTAAGTGTTTATAATTAATCCCAAGAAAATGAAAAGAAAAAACAAAGAAGTACGTCATTTTATTTTACACGTGTCTTTTATTATTATTTCATCTCCATAAATCTTCTCCATGAATCAAATCAACCATGATTATTATATAACAAACGATAATGAAACAGTTGAACGACTTGGATGGATAAGTAAAAGTGTTGACGAGTGAGTCTCAGGTCAGGGGAGGCTGTGATCGAGTGATTGCAGACGATAAGACACAAGACCGAATGGGGGGAAACGATAATCATTTCAAAACATTTCCGCCTTTTAATCATCTTTATCATTATTATTATTACTGATGATAAATAATAATAAATATATATATAGGTAATATTAAGGTTTCTTTCCTTCTTTTTTTTATAATAAATAATATATGTATAAAACTAACACCGACCGATGAGTTTTATTTTGTAACCCTAGCGACGAATATTTTGAATATTTGGTTACCAAGGTGACGACGACGACTGTTGTTTACGAAACAAAGGAGCAGGGTGGAAATGGTAACGCCCTCGATATAAATAATACTTGTTTTTACTTTCTTTTCAATATAATATGCTTTATTTATCCTTTTGGCGAATAATAATAGTAATATTTCTCTAATATTATCATCATCATTATTTGTTATTATCAATATTGTTACTCTCTCTCTCTGTCTCTATCTCTCACGCTTTCTTTCTCACTTACGTGCACATCGCGCAATTCGTATCATCATTTCTCTCTCTCTCTTTGTCACTTATTATCCCTTAAAAACTAATAAATAATACAAATAAAAAAACAAACGTATTCGATTTCAATCGCTTAGAATCTATGCGTGTCTCTTCATTCATTCTTAGTCACTCGCGCGTTAAAAAGAAGGAGCTAGAAAAGAAAACGAAGAGGAAGAATAAATATATATATGTGTGTGTGTGTTTGAATTTGTCTGTCAGAATGTGTGTATGTCTGTGTGGTGTGTTTTAATCATCATCTTCGTCTTCTCCTCCTCTTCGAATATCGGTGTAATCATCATCATCATCATTGTTGTTGTTTTGTTTAAGGGCACTTTCTATCGATCTGAACTTTTCCAGACTCTTGGTACTCTTGCATCGAGACCCACATCTGTTGGAATGTACCGATGGAGGCGAGAATTGAGCCTCCAACCCAGGCACCGAACCGCCGTTCTACGGTCCCATTGGCTGCTATCATTTTCAGACGCATCGAACCGGGCGTCCGCAACGACAGATCCCTGCTCAGCCTATCGCTGAATCCCTGAACACAATCAATGAATAGAATTAATAAACACATTCGAACACAAATCTAAATATCAACTCACTTGCACCAGAGAATTTCCGCCTGTCAGGACTACCGAACTGTACAGGGCCGGCCTCACATCGACGTCGCACATTCCGGCACTCGTCGAAGCTGCAAATATACATGATTAATATCCATTTCAATGAATATATACTATTAAATACTAACCGATGTAACCGGCACCGAGCATCGCGTGATCAAATAGTCCTTCGGCGAGCCGAAATCGTTCCGATGAGAAATCCTGGTGATAACCGGTGGGAAACTCGTAATGAACGGCGGGAACTGCGCTTGCCACACGCTCCTCGTACGGCGTCTCCGATACCTGCAGCACCGTCTGCTGAAAGTCCTGAATGGTGCGCTTCGACATGTACGCCATCCAACTGTTGGTCGGAGCAAACGAAATCGGTTTCTTCACGTACTTGGCCTTATCCTTATCCCTTACGACCTCCTTGCTCGCGATCATCGAGGCAGGCGTCAGGTCGATACCCTGCGCCTCGAGGAGTTCGCGCGCCCTCAGCACTAGGTAATCACCGCCGAGCGGAGACTTGACGACGGCGTTGGAGATAACGTAGCCGTCCAGGACGGGTACCGCTGAGGTGTGTGTGGCACCGCTGTCGATGACCAGTGCGGTTGATCGACCGTTCGCGAAAGCGGCCAACGCGGCGTTCTTCACTAAAAAGAACGCGGGCACCTTATACTTTTCGAACATGATCTCCATCAGCTTTTCCCTCTTCGGCCGCTGGTTCCACGGAGACTCTGAGAACAGCACCGGATGATACTCGGACTCTGACTGTATGATCTTTGCGTATGAGTAGTCGATGACCTTCTCGAAAAAATCCCAATTCTCAATCATTCCATCTTTCATGTAAGGATGCAACTCCATATTCTGTCTGGGGGTATGCAGGAACGTCGTATCAATGTAATACTTCCAAGCTGCTGCAAATGCAAATACAACAACAATAATTGTAAAGTTCATGTTCATTCATGTTTATCATACCTGCAGAGGTCGGTGGTTGCGAGGCGTTGATGCTGCTACTGCTTCCACCGCTTCCCTCGACTTTCACCTCCGGTTCGAGCTTGGGGCCACCGTCTGGAGCGACGCCGACGATCGCGGGTATTTCCGCTTTCGGCGTGTCCTCCTGTGCATATCCGACCCGCAGCGAGTGGTGTCCCGGGTCGAAAACCAACGCCCCGATCTCGTCGCCCCCGTACAGCATTCCCGACATCCTATCCTCTCTTCCTATACTCGCTCGTCTCTACCACCCTCCTGTACAAGCAACGACAACGTTCTTCAGCACTGTAAACAACAACAACAATGTTACACTACAAGCCGCACTTTTGAGGTTAGGTCAACCGCATCTGGTGACAGTTTCTGAGCGTCGCTAGAACCATCGTTACCAACCGTCGATATATCTAGGGGGGCAAAAGAAGCGAAATAGTATTAAGTAATATCTTACATTGAATATATGTAAATTAATTTAATCCTCTAAATGTAATACGAAAATGATTGCAACAACTTGAACTAACGCAATGATATGTGATGATATGTAGTGAAATATTTTGACGCTTTGTTGTAGTGGCTGCAATTACTTGTCAAAACAAGTGCTAAATAACATAACCAAACATATCCGTATAAAGAAAATAGTATTCTATGTTATAGTTTGGTTTAGCTCAGAAAACACTTGGATCGTTTGTGTATTAGTTATTCATACCGTGCACATTAGATATTTATGCTTTTCTGGAAGTCCATCTCTGCAGGGGAGGAATTGCAGATCAAGAATGTCTTATGCAGGTTCTGGAGATGATCAAAGTGAGGATGGTGAGTTGAGGCAAAGTCCGGTGGACACGAAGGCCAAGGGAGACACCATGGATTTCAGGTGAGAATTCTGAAATTGATAAAAGAGAAGGAGACATTTATTTAACATATGCATTGTATTTTGTCATTGTTAGTCTGTCGGAGGAGGATCCAGATACAATGGATGGTTTGGATATAAAGCCACCTCAAGCGCACGCTGGACAGGCCTCTAGGAAGAGGAGAGAGGGTCATGACAGACATCATAAGAGATCAGAGAGACATGGCAGGGAGGAGAGGCATTCACACAGAAAACATCATAGGTAATTAATTTGCTATTTTTTTTTGTTTGTTTGTAGTGCAGCATTTTTTTAAATATTGTTTGTTGTTGCAGAGATCGTAAGGAGAGGGAGCAGCAACATTATCAAAGGGAGAAGGAGAGATATTACAAGGAGCAACAGCAGCAGCAGGTGGCAGCCTCTTACAAGGACAATAGTTACAGTGAAGTGCAGTATGTGAACGAGAGGGTATACAGGGAAAGAAAGGAGGAGTCGTCGAGAAGACACGCCGAGAGAAAGTACGAGGAGAAGAAGATGAAGGAGGCACGGTACTCGGAGAAGATGCGCAGGGAAAAGTACGAGGAGGACAAAAGGTTGACGGGGGACAGAACGTTGCAGGACCTGAGGGAGAGATTGCTCAACAAGAGGAACAGTGGCAGCAGCAAAGGTGAAGAGGATTACGTGCGAGAGAAGCAGGAGCACAGGGATAAAAAGTACAGCGAAAATCCGGACAGCGTCCTGCAAGGGGAATCGGGGATGTACGTGAAGGAAATCATCAGCATCAGCACAAACGAGGACAGGAAGCACAGACGGAGCGGTGGCGGCGGCGGCGGCGGTGGTGATGATACAAGATACAACAGCAGGATGGACGACGACAAGTTGACGGAAGAGGAGAGGGCCGAACAGGATTTGCGCAGGGAGAAGCTGCTGGAGGCTGAACGCGAGATGGCCAGGCAAAAGGAGCAGAGAGAACGTCGCCATCTGGAGAAGCAAGTGAGGAAACGACGCATCATGGAGGACATGATGAACCACAAGCGGTTGAAAAGTGACGATAATGTCGTAGAGGTATCAGACAACTCGGAAGACGAAGAGGTGGAGGAGGAAGCTGAATCGGATTATGTCGAGGATGAGGAGGATGACGGCGTGGAGGAAGATGGGGAACACCGCGAGAGGAGCGAGGCTGAGTCGAGTGCACGCGAAGGCGACGAGGAAGAGGACGAATCACGATCACCATCCTCGGAACGTTCGCCGGTCTCGGTGCGCTCCGACAATCAAAAATCGACGCACAGCGACGGTTCAGTGAAATCTCGTACGGCAAGTCCGAAGAGTAACGGAATCGGTAATGATTATGTCTTAGAGGATGAGGAGGAGGAGGAAGAGGAAGAGGATGACGAAAGAGCTGCAGCAGAGAAAGTAGCAAAGGTAGATGGATGCGCTGACGACGATGGTGAAGAGGTGCGTAACGCGCAGGAAGAAACCGAGAAAAAGATCGACGAAGATCTGCCACCTTACTTCCCTGCCATCCAGGGTTGCAGATCCGTCGAGGAATTCCAATGCTTAAATAAAATCGAGGAAGGTACTTACGGAGTGGTGTACAGGGCCAGAGACAAAAGGACCGACGACATCGTAGCGTTGAAGCGGCTGAAGATGGAGAAGGAAAAGGAGGGCTTCCCGATAACGTCGCTGCGTGAAATCAACACACTTTTGAAGGGCCAACATCCGAACATCGTGACCGTGCGCGAAATAGTTGTGGGCAGCAACATGGACAAGATATTCATCGTCATGGATTACGTTGAGCACGATCTGAAATCACTGATGGAAACGATGCGCAACAAGAAGCAGACGTTCACCACCTGCGAAGTAAAGTGTCTTCTCTCGCAGCTGCTGAAGGCAGTCTCCCATCTGCACGACAACTGGATTCTGCATCGCGATCTGAAAACCTCTAACCTGCTTCTCTCGCACAAGGGTATCCTGAAGGTGGGCGACTTCGGGTTGGCGCGCGAATACGGTTCACCCTTGAAGGCGTACACGCCCATCGTTGTTACGCTGTGGTATCGTGCACCGGAGCTGCTGCTCTGCACCAAGGAGTACTCGACGCCCATTGACGTGTGGTCGGTGGGCTGCATCTTCGCCGAACTGCTTCTAATGCACGCCCTCTTTCCGGGCAAGAGCGAGGTGGACCAACTGAATCGAATCTTTCGGGACTTGGGTACGCCCAACGAGAAGATCTGGACCGGATTCAACAAGTTGCCCGCGGTGCAGAAGATGAAGTTCGCCGAGTATCCGGTGTCCAATCTGCGGCAGAGATTCGGCATGCTCGGCGAGATCGGTCTATCGCTGCTGATGGGTTTCCTCACCTACGACCCGGAGAAGAGAATCGCAGCCGAGGAGGCCCTCAATCACGCCTACTTCAAGGAGGCGCCTCTTCCCCTGGATCCTGCCATGTTCCCCACGTGGCCTGCGAAGAGCGAGTTGGGTCATAGGAAGGCCATGGCTGCGGCCAGCCCCAAACCTCCATCCGGTGGACGCGAATTCAAGCAACTGGTAAACAATGCAAACAAAACTATTATTACCATTATCAACATAATTAATTCGTTTGTTTATATTAATTAGGGTGGAGACGGTGACGACGACGGCTACGGATTCAGAATCGGCATATCCGCAGTGGACAGCAGAAGGCTCGCGATGGGCGGCGGCTTCAGTCTAAAATTTTAGTGAAATATAATCCCGAGTATAACTCCCTCTCTCTCCCCTTTTCAATATTTGGTGGAACAAAATAAAATTAATAAAGATGAAATATGTTTGTAAATAATATACTGGATCAACTTTTTTTTTAAATTTCCTTTTATCCTGGCTAATGCAATAGATATGATATATTTAAAAAAAAAATAATTTAGAAAATCAGACTTCTAAGTTAAACACTTAGAAGTCTGATTTTGAAATTTCTAAATTAATGAACCCTCTCTAATTCAAATTACTATAGGAAATGCACATCTCAATACAATCTACGCAATTGATTAGCGAACAAATTACGAAACATTCATATTAATTACTCAAAATCTAATTGGATTGTGATCTTCCCGAATGAATTTCGCCAAAAACATCACAATTCAATAGTTTTACTGGAGTTGCACCAGCGATTTTGAATTTTTAAAACCGGAGCGTACGCAGACGCCGAAATTCGAATTGATCACGGAACAAATTGTCGGCAAATGCAGAAAGCAAAGACTCACATGCTTTTAATTAATCCATCCAATGTTAGGTAAATCCTCCACAAATCACAATTGCACTGCACAAATAATCCAATTTTCATTGTTGATTTCACTGCAACAACCAGATGTAAACAATAGTGAAGTGAGGCGAACAACGCACTGAATTTAGCGCCACCTAGCGATAGCGTCTGTGAACTGAAGTTATTCGAATACGAAAAAAATAATACATATTACGTACATAATACATTGGGTTAATAAAACCACGGAATTCGATAATATTATTAAGGAAATTGAGGAATTGCAAGAGCTGATTCAGCTGCGCTTTAGAATGCCTCGAAAATACGTGGATAATTGGAGATTATTGGAATTTTCGGCGTTAAAATAATGAAAAAATCGCGAAACGAACGATCGCAGTTACTTGAGAATGTTATTAGCAAAAGACTCACCGGTTAATTAACTCCAAATTCATTAATAAACATCGGAGAAACAAAGTAAGAGATGCGCACCGGCCGCGACTTGAATACGGATTGAATTTAGCCACGGAACAGTCACGTGATCCATATGGAGCACTGTGATTGGTCACCGGCACAGTCGACTCAAGCCATTGTTTATAGCATTATTATAAAAAAAAACGTCACCTGATCGAAAAGCAGGTCTCTGATTGGCCACACATCGATCACATGATCCAGCTGGTGTGCATCGTCGCCGCCGCCAGTCCGCCATTCCAATTCGAATTGAACGCGTCCTTTCGGTTTTGCTCCGGTGTAAATTCAGTGAATTCTACAGATTTTCATGGAATTTATCAGGTGAGTCCTCAGGTATTATATCTACGCACTGCCTCCTACACACTTTCGCTTACTTTTCATCGATTCGACGCAAAATAATTCGAATTTAAATGTGATCTGTACGTTTCGTTATTCAACGTAATTATACGGTAACTCCTAGAAGCCGCCTTTTCATAATTGAGTCATTTATTAATCGTTTTATCGCGTTTTCACTATTTGCGCATATAAACGCAGATTTCTGTTGGCTTTTTCTTAATACGTATTTGAAACTTTTTTTATGTAGTTCATGATGCTTCCACCGACGGTGATGGAGATGGTGGCGCTGATCGTCGTTGCCAATCGCAGATAATGAACTACGCAGCCAATTGCAGCCAACTTCATTTGCGAAGTGAGTTTTTGTTTTAATTTCTTTTTACAAACATATAATTAATTAGTCTCTTTAATCAATCATTTATTTTAAATTTATTATTTATTTGCAACTTTTCGATTTAAATATACTTCCGTTTTCCTCCCGTTTCATTCAAATTAAATATCTGGATTCGCATCGAATTTCATAGATGTGTTTTTAATAATTATTTATATTGAATATCGTCATTTCTTTTATCGATATGAGCGTAAGCGAAGACATAATGAGACGGATAATTAATCCGTTATTTTGGAAAATGGTATAAGTCCATTTTGAGTAAAAAAAAACGTTAATTTTAATAATTATTATTGCATAATATTGCATAAAAATTAACAGTTTTATAGTGTAAAAAACATCAAGCGAATTGATTTGCCAATATTTTTAAATCTTAAATATTCGATATATGAAAAAAATGGACTTATACCACTTTACAAATTAACGTTTCATTTATTTATTTTTTATATTTAAAATGTATTTTTTTTAGTTCGTGACGCTCATGCGCTGCGATTGGCTGAGCGGTGCATGAGTCGCCGTGCAAGGCGCACGCCAGTCTCGCGCTTGCCGTCAAAGAGTGCGCGTCGTGACGGTGCATTGAAATCAACAATGCAAATTGGATTAATTGTGCAGTGCGATTGTGATTTGTGGAGGATTTACCTAACATTAGATGGATTAATTAAACGCAGGTGAGTCTTTGTTTTTATTCACTTACCGACGATTATGAAATTAATTATTTTATTCAAAATCCATTCAAATTCAAAACCGACGACCGTGCATTTATATTCCTAGTGTTTATAAAAGAGATGCATCTTATTTTCGGTCCCATTAGATTGATTAATTATTAAATTAAATTAATTATTTTATTTCAAATTATTTATTATTCTTTTTATTTTCTTTTAATATTTATTAACGACAAATATACATGATTTATTTCTCAAATAATTGCTACATTATACAATATGATTTTGCATGTTTCTAAATTAAATTTACATATTGCTTTATATGATTTTCTGTTAAATTAATAATCGTTCATGTTTCAGGTTTTAATCATCATTAAGCCAACGTTTTATACTCCGGTTTGCATAGCACTTTCGATGTTTCAAATTTAAACCGGAAGAACTGTTTTATCAGCCAGACGTTTTAATTCTAGCTTCACTCTGCTCATCAACCGGAAGTTAAGTGTTCCGTATTTCGAAATCCCGCGAATTTATTAAATTGAATAAACGACAATGCTTCATACCACTTGGAGTTGTTGCTCGTTTCATCCTAATTAATAATTAAAATCACAAACGGGAGTGTTAATTAATCGCGAGTGAGTGAGTGCCAATGGGTCTGAGGCAGTCCAACATCGCAGCATTCTGTAAGTCTTAATCAATACTTATTTCCAATTGGATTTCCATACTAATTT